ACCGAGTTTGTGAAAAAATATATCAATGTTTGTGAAATCAAATAGGTATATGATGAAAATATATTTTATAATGAATCTAATGCTACTAATTTGATGGCATAAATGTTAGTGTATTATTGTAGAAATGCGGTCAAACATAAAAAAGTTTGACTTTCCAACAAAGTTGAAAGTACACTCTTTAAAGGACAGAGGGAGTATATGCACAACCAAGTAGGGCATGTGTACACCTCAAAAAAGAACATGCTCACTACTCCCTCTGCTCCCTAATACAAGTCTTTTTAGAGATTCCAATGTGGACTACATACGGAGCAAAATGAGTGAATCTAAAAAAAAAAGGGCAACCTGGTGCATGTAGCTCCCGCTTGCGCAGGGTCCAGGGAAGGGTCCGACCACTTTGGGTCTATAGTACGCAGCCTTTCCCTACATTTCTGTAAGAGGCTGTTTCCAGGACTTGAACCCATGACCTCATGGTCACAAGGCAGCAGCTTTACCACTGCGCCAAGGCTCCCCTTCAAAATGAGTGAATCTACACTCTAAAATATGTCTATATACATCCGTATGTAGTCTATATTGAAATCTCTAAAAAGACTTATATTTAGGAACGGAAGGAGTACATCATCTTTGCAGACCAATAAAACATAATCTAGAGCATATAAGCCAAGTGGGTCACAAACCTCCTGGAAAAGTGCAGATTCCGTAGCCAGTGTTTTCTTGAATGCATTATCATCATTACTGCTCAAGGTTCTGAACAGTGAAACTGAAGGAATATTGCACACAGTGTTAATGAAACGCATGAAGTAGAAGCCTAAGTCATTAGACTTAACCCCGCTAACATGCAAAGCCTCGTCCTTTTGTGCATCTTCTAGTAATAACTGAAGTTGTTCAATGCATTCATTACGAAGCGATGTTGATATAGCTGCCTTTGGCCATTTGAACTTCTCTTGCAACTCAAATGACGTCACCTCAGTTCCTAAAGAGGCTGAGAACAGACCTTGGACTGCAAAGAATTTTAGTATCTCAGTCTGCACCTGAAATTTTTCTTCAATACACTTGATCATCTCAGAATCTGTCAGCGAACTTCCTTTAGATGTAAGCTTTAGATTTTTCAAGACAAATGGAATTGTATTCACCACCCAACTCTTCAGAAGGTCAGCGTTCCCTTCGCCAACAAGTTCCTTATCTTCAATTGAGCCAACCTCTGAATTCTCATCAGTTGTCTGACTTTGATCAGATGGTTCATCTGCAACAGAACCTTCATCCACAAAGAGTGCCATCAAATTTTGCACAAGATGCAAACAATCTTGACCATTCTGGATCTTGGCGATCAACCCTTTAACAGTTTTTGTTTTTGTCAGGCTGTCAAATCTTCCAAAGCTATACTTCTGCAAGTTGATGATAACAGCAACACAACGATCATTGTCATTGCTTACTAAACTGACTAATTCTTTCAGAAAATGTTGACCGGCATTGTACAACCACGATGAAGCATTAGACAGAATGTCCATCAATCCAAGAACAACTTTGCTGGACAGAATTACTTGAATAGATGATGGAGATAGTCTTGGTAGGAGATCAATAATTATATTAAATGCTAGATGCTTCCGGTCGTGAGATGAGAGCAGCAATGATCTTTCAATAATAACCTCACAGAAATTGCGTAGGTTCTTTTTTGAATCCTCGGAGGAACTGCCTTTCTTACTCTTTTTGTGCTTTTTGCTAGAACTCGTATTGTTATCACTCTGAGAAGCTTCCTCACGGATGAGCATGTCCGTGATAACATGCCATATACTATGAATGCGTGGAAGACAAAATGCAGATTCCTGCATAAGATTACAGCAGAACAATTAAAGGATCAACCAGCAAATACCACAAAATATACAACATTTCAAGAACATAAGAACATACACTGATTATTTCAGATAGACCATAGGATGTTAAAACTTTTTTGGAAGTTCCTCCTGAAACTTAAAATTGCTCAAAATTACCTTAAAACAAGCAGCAAGGGATAGAAGATGCTCTTCTGTGAAAAAATTGTCAAGACTGAATGGATATGGCAGAAGCTTCCCAAATATCTCCCTCTGAACATTAGTTCTTTCTTGGAACTTCAAAGCCAGGAAGAGCGCATCTGGATCTCCAACATTAGCAGCTCTGTTGAACCAATCTTGTACACAAGGGGTATCTAGAACCTCAGAGAATATAGCTTCATCTGGCAGCTGCAACACACAGAGAAGTTACAAAGAAACAAATCAACCAAGCGATCACATATGGGAACCATTCACAGATGGCAAATGTACAAATATTAGTTTTGTTCTTTAATTCCATTTTACCACAAATGGAAATAGAATGTGCAATTGCAAAAAATCATACTAGTATAGTCCCAGCAGCCATATGCGCATAGCCAATACTGCAATGCTGGGTTCATAATGGTGCCCTTATTTGTAAAAAAAACGTTGTAATCTCCGTCTTTGGATGCTTATATAAAAAAAATGACACCAGAGTTACTGGTTTTTGCATTTGCCCCCTGATTTACAGCTAGATTGGGTGGGGGTGGGGGATAATAGCTCGTCAGAAGGCTTAATAATAACCAAAGGCAAAAGCCAAAAATGATGGCATATTTGTGATAAGGATACAGATGTATATTGATGAGACTATTTAGCAGAAGAACATCCATTCAAGCCTCTACACTAAAATAATACAGGTTTCAAACCAAATGAACTGCCAAATTTGGTTAATTAATGCTTAAAACCAATGTATTTCCTTCTTCAAGGAGCCATCAATAAAAACAACCACATGAAAAAAAAACAAGCAAGGGAGGTAAGTACACTACAGCAGAAAAGACTAGCACACTTCTCTGGGGTTCTAAAAACACACAAACTGGTAAGAAATAAATATTCATGTTAGCTTGTTTTGGCTGGTAGTTACTTGACTGCTTAGCATCTTAGTACTTTATACTTGACACAAACACCTAGTCCAACTCACTATCGGACTCAGAATTAAGGTTACTTATTTTTAGGATGTCTTGTCAACCATGTGATACAACAACCTCATGTAAATCAGGGCAGAGGCTATGGTCACAGATTTGTTGTACAAATATAAGCAGATTGAAAGATCAGATGGTGATGCAATCAAGGATTGAAATTGCTGCACCACAGTAACACCAGTTTTTTTATGTTGCGACATTTGTTGAGTTAATTTATTTATTTTACATATTTATCAAATTCTAGCAGGAAAAATATGTTCTCGATGTCCACCAGCAAATAGCATAGACTGCCATGGGCTGCACTGATGCTGTTTCACCTTTCAACGAACACAAGAAACCTTCCATAGCATGCATGATATTTGTCTAGTTCTAATACTCCCTCCGTTCGGAATTACTCGTCCAAGAAATGAATGTATCTAGATGTATTTTAGTTGTAGATACATCCATTTTTGTGACAAGTAATTCCGAACGGGGGGAGTAGAAGATTAGAGCATTGCATGTTATAAAAATTGTTAAGCATGAGCCTAAGCTATGTACCTTCCTGGTTAAATCCAGAATCAATGCAACCGCAGGCTCGGTGAGATATCGTTTCTTATTTCCAAGTTGCACAACCTCTGTAACAAAATCCCTGAGAATAGGAGAAGATTTATCACGTTTCCACTGTCCTAAAACCCTTCCAGACCTTGCAAGTGATCCAAATCCAAACAGGCGCCCCAAAAGATTGTCCTTAGCTTCCTACAACGGAACGAACATTGGAGAGTTAAGCTGACAGTACAGTCAGACATGAGAAATGTGCAACTAATCATAACGCAAGTTACCGGTCCTTTCATGGAGGCTGAATATTCCAGCAAAGTAGGTATCAACTTCATAACAGCTTCGACGCTGACGGCTTTAATTGATTGGAGCACAGCCGCGAGACCCAACGCGAATCCTTGCCTTGCAAACTGCAAATAAGAACCCCGAGCATATAGCAATTAATTTAAGTGTGGCGCCACAGTTTAATCATCCCATTACATCACAGAACGTAGGTTCTGTCCTAGACTCAGGACAGCATTCCTGACCTCTCTAGAGGAAGAGATGCCGCGGATGAGCCGCCGGATGGCATACCGCACGGCGGGAGCGCAGTTATCCAGCCCATCCTCCTTCTCGGCCTCCATCTGCGAAGGGCCGTCGCGCTCCCCCGCCTCTTCCTCCTCCCCCTCCTCCCGCGCGGCCTTCTCCTTCTCGTACGCCCTCTGCACGTCCCGGAGCTCGGCCACAAGCGCCTCGGCCGCGGCCTCCCTCAGCGAGGCCTCGGGCGACGCCAGGTCCTTGAAGACATTCATGTGGAGCCCCGGCCCCGCCACCACCGGAGCGGGCGCGGGCGCTGGCACCGAGACCGGCACCACCGGCATGACCTCCTCGTCCGCCGCGGCCGCGGGCGCGGGCTGCGGCTTGGGGGCGGCGGCGGCCTTCTCCGCGGACTGGCGGTGGCGGTCCTTGTCGAGCTGCTTGCGCTGCTTCCTGACCTCCATGGCCAGCTTCTTCTTCTTCTTCGCCGGCACCTCCCCCGCCGGGCACGCCGCCCTCGCCGCGGCCTCGTCCTGCGAGGAGTCCGACGCGGCGGGGCCGAGCTCCGCCAGCGCCGTCGGGGGCCGCTTCTTTCCGGCCATCAGATAGCTTGGTTGGTGGGTCTCCGCGTCCTAGCCGCCGTCGGCTGAGGTTTATGCCCGAGAAGAGACGGGACGGCCAAGCTTGGGGGAGAGGCGCGGCCTGCTAGGGTTAGGGTTTTTGCTCCCGCCCCCCTCCCCTCCCTCTTATTTTTTCACCGTCTACTGAAGCCAGCCCAGGCCCATCACGGCACCACGGTCCTGGAGCCCAGTTATCTCGGCCCGGCCCGAGACCATCAGGCCTGTAAGCATTAATTCTCTCTGGCAGGTGGGCGTCCAGGGCGGCGTGTGGGGCCCGCGGAATAAGGCGACGGGGCGAGGAGAGAAGGGAAAGGGGAAGGGGAAGCAGTGTGTGTCGGCGCGGCGGAGCAATGGCGGACAAGCCGAGCCGGGCGCTGGTGCTCTACGCCGCCGGCCACGCGGCGCTGCTCGCCGGGGGCGGAGGGGGGAAGGGCCACCTCGACGCGTTCGCCTCCATCGCCTCCTGCGGCTTCCTCTCCGTCCGCACCCCCGCCGTCAACGGTACCAATCCCCTCTCGCGCTCTGCGCGGTTGCTCTGCTTTGCTTACCCCCCCATTAAACTGAGAGGTTTCTGTCTTGTCTCTCAACCTAGAGGATGGAGGGGACAAGAACAGCGGCACGATCCTTGAGCTGGGGCAGCTGCTCGACGTGTGCGATGCCCTCTATCCTGCCAAGGTGCGATCCTGCTCTCCGGGTTTGCGTCAGGGCGAAGTAGTTGCAGAGAGGGTTTGAGTATGTGAGGCTGATTGTATTTGTTAACTCGTTAGGATGGGGAAGTTGCCCGGGTGGATCCGCAGGAGCTAGTAGTCCCCAAGCTATCCGAGAGGTTCGATGTGTGTGATCTTTTGCTTTGGTTACTGTTAGTGTATCCACTGTAACTGTGAGGGCTGACTCGCTGCTGAAAATCCAGGTTCATGGGGCTGAGAGCTGCTATGGTCACCAATTGCCCCGGTGTTAGCTCATTCGCGGCGAATCTTGGTTTCCACGTTTTCGGAACTGAAGATTTCGCCGCGCAGTCCGGTTCAGGCAGCAGTTCTAAGGACACTAGAATAATCGACCGGGCGTTCACTCTGCTGGGATTTGCAGAGGGGAACGTCCAGGACGCGTCCGAATTCGATCTGGTGTTTGTGCATGCCGCAATGGAGAGCACAGCCAGCAAGCTCGGGAAATTGGGGATGAAGACGGATCTCAACCGGCTTGACAAACTGGTGGCTTCAGTCATGGAAGCTGCGCCGGTCGGTTCAGCTGTCGCCGCCCGTATTCATGTGTCTGTGATCTTGAGCTATGGATCTGCAACAGAAAATAAGGAAGAGGCGTGCCTCATCGTAAACTCTTCAACCGAAACTGATTCCGACTTGAAGTTACTCCGTCCACGCCAGAGCTACACTATGAAAGCAGGAAAGACGTTGGATGATGTCAGGTAAATGTTGTTCTTGGCTAGCAAATGAAAGTCATAACAGATGTTTTGAAGTGCAATCTTTATTGCAGAAAAATGCTCCTTTAGATTCTGTATGTGTTTGATGTGAGTTGAACCATATCATGGCCTTCCATATATAACCTGTTTGTCATTTCCAGTCAATATTTCGGTGTACAAAATGACTCTGCAATGGCCCGTATCACAACCATTTAGCCATCTCATGAAAGCTAACAGCCACCTTTTGGTTTTGTGAAGTGAAGTTGAAAAATGCCATTCTAATGCATGACAGGACAGGACTAAATTATTTTACAGTAGATGCTACATCAGTCTATGTGCCTAATTTTGTTGTTTTACGCACTCAACCATGGAGCAATGTATTGTACAATGAAAGCACATCTGTGTACAATGACACATCTAGACTTACACAAATAACTTTATTATGCATATCCTGCAGGAATCATCATCCAATGCTACTGGCACAGTGGCAACAAGGAGTAACACGTTCCGATTTGGCCAAAGAGTTCTCTTTTGAGGAATTTATAAAGGTCTGCTTAATGCACTTTTTAGAATGTTTACCTGAATCATAGAAACTTTATCAAATAATACTATATATGCAAGTTTGTTCCCGTGATCCTGTTTATTACTTTGTTTCTTCAGTTGTTTATAATGGACAAACACTGCAGTTCTCCCTTTTTCTAGTGTGGGTACTGGTGCCAGCATTAGAAACATGACAGTACCTTTTTTAGAAAATAGAGTTTGTAGATTAGAATAAGCAATGTAGTATTGATATTAATTCCTTGGGTAGTGGGCAGTTTATGTGATAATATAGTAACTATCGTATTACTCACCATGGCTGGTTACCCAAAGAACATCTTGTGGTAGGTATGCAGCATAAAATAATTGCTCATTTTCATGGCCACTGGATGGTGACGTGTATCATCTTTATAGGATGCCGTAGATGATTGTCACTGACCAGATGAGTATGCTCCACAACAGTAAATCGCAGTAGCTTTTTTCCTGTAAAGCAGTTTCTGAAGGGGTCACACTAAATGGCAGCATTGCTATTGCTTTTACATTCTCACAGCTTCCCCATCTGTGTGCTCATCTTGGTCATGATGTAGAGCCTATGCTTCCAACCATGTTATGTTTCTATGTGTTTGAAGTTTTGGCTGGTGATTCTTAATTATTTCCAAACACAGGTCTTACCATTTTTCTCTCTTTAGTTTCAGTTTCCTTAAATCATTTAACTAACTTCATTTTGTAATGTAATCAACAGCGTGCTGGAAACTTTGCTATGCTTGCCGAGCGCTTTCTACATGAGGTTGCATTTAAGCTCTGGAAAGCGCCAAAATATGGAGCATAGTTCTATCTGAGGAGGTTCTCTCTTAATAAGGCGTGGAATCACCTAATAAAAGGGGTGCTACACAAGTACTTCTTTCAAATGGGTACTGCGGCAGATATTGCAAATAGATGAGTTCTGTACTCTAAGGTTCTCATTTGGTATCACCCATGCTCCATGCCGACGATGCCGTGGTACTGGGAACTCATAGGTTCATTACCAGTAGTAGTTACTTCGTGGAGATCTATTGTGAGCCTCTCTAACGCTTTCCTTAAGTGAAACAATGCCATCCTTCGCAGCTTTGCTTGAAATTTCTTAACGTGGCAGTTGTTTCTGTGTCTAGCTCTGTATCGGCTTTGTACCATGTGCGGATCACTGTAATGTAGATGCTATTCCTGGAAATGATGACCGGCTGGAGCATCAATTTTAATAACAAATACTGGAATGTGTTTTCCTAAAGAAGGATAATGAAAGCATGGCGGTACCGATCACCTTTACTTTGCAGCTTCAGATATGTGCTTTTATATATCAGCTTTTGTCCGCATGATTGTGCTCGTGTCAAGTATATACATGCAAACTTGCAAAAGGATTAGAATCCCTGTGGTACAAAATTATTCATCTGAATGCCGTCCTATATGTTGGCTATCCTGCTTGAGCGCGAAGCAGGAGTAGTGCCGCACCTTGTCAATGGTGCCCTCTCTATCTTGCAATATGCCGCTGATAAGGTTCTTTTTTAGGAATATGACCTAGATAAAGCTCAAAACCTGAAACTCTTGCTTTCAGCTTTTGAGCAAATGTCAGGTCTTGTTATGAACTTCCATAAAAGTGAATTGTTCTACTTCGAAGAGACAAATGAGATGGCTGCTAAATACGCTGACATATTTGGTTGTGCATCAGGTCAATTCTCGATTAAGTACTACAGAATTCTGATAGTGCTTAGAGAAACGGTTGAGCAATTGAAAAGGCAAGTTGCTTTTCATTGGAGGACAATCGATTTTGATCAAGTCTATCCTCAGTTCTCTATATGCTATCCTTTTTTCAAAGATTTTGATCAATCGATTTTGACCCTAAGGAAGATAACCAACACAAACAACATATATAAGTAACTACAAGATTCTGCTTTAGCCCTGCAAACCCCCCTCAGTTTCATGCACTAAAAAATTAGCTGGACATTATTCCATGCTCCCCAAGAACACAATATATCTACCGAATATTTATTTTAGAAAACCAAAGGTATCTCAAAGAAAACAACACCTTATGGTGATTCTACAAAATCCGATCTAGTGCAATCTGAAGAACAAACTAGGAACACGTATGAAATCCAATTGAAAGTTCTGAAAAAAAGAAGCATGCGCTCAGATTCGTCCTGAACGACAGGGCAAAGGAGGCAAAGCCATCCCCTGTTGCAATGGAGGCGAAACTGATGGCGAGGCCCTCCTTCAATTTCACAGAGCTGTTTGTTCTTACACTGCTCTGTCACCAAGGCCTGTGCTACTTGTTAAAATATATGGAAAAACAGAATGAGCATGGATATATCAAAGTGCATGGTAACTAAGCAAACCAAAACAAGATCACATTTCAGCTCACCACAGCTCACAAGACCGAGTAGCTAGTGCAACATACACCAGAACGATTGCAACAACAGCTAGGGCATGGCATGAGAAGACGAACTAATAGATGAACTTCAAGTGCTCGACGAAAATTACCATCCTCGGTTTTGAACTTTTGATGCCTCCTAAAGAAGCACAGAACATTCAAGCTAGCATATCAGAATTGAGATGGTCTCATGCGTCTAGCCAATTCGGCATCTACTATCGCCACAAGTGATCCAACGACCCTGGAGTAGGAAGGAATGAACACCCACTCCCTCTCTAAGGCAACTTCATTCTCTCTTGAGAGCTGGGGTGCCTGCCAGTATCATCTGAGCCAGGCGCTCCTCGTAGTCCAGTCCCTGGAACCCGGTGATGTTCAAGTGTACAAGGCGCTCCAGTGAGAGCTGCTGGTTCTCCCAGCCGTCTTCGTCGTGGCAGACGCAAGCTCGATCCAAGCATGCCGGCTGATCCAGTTCACCAAACGGTCAATAATTGAGACAATTTTTTTCTCGACGAAGAGCCATGAGATGACTATATAAAACATGAAAAGGTAAATTTCGTGCCAACACCATTTCAACCCTTAGCTCTTATAGCCAATTTGGATGCAGACAATATAAGTATTTTAGTGCCGAATTGCGTATTTAATCGATTGATTTCGGGTGCTAGAGGAACTCACCTTCTCGGTGCCTCTCGTGACTTCAATGCGGAGATCTTCCAGATTGCTGCACTGTGCAATGAGCCTTGCCAAACTGGCAGCATATGAATGCCCCTTCCATGTTGAGATATTGACCCTCAGAGCAGTGATGTTAAGTAGCTGTGGTATGTCATCCACTAGTATGCTCTCACAATCCGCCATCCCTGAATCCATACCATCCACCAGGGCCTCCCTCATATACTGCACAAGGGATATTTCGGCATTCGGCAGCTAATCAGTACACTCATATACTACTGCATTTGTGGTACATGTCTCAGTATTGGGCAGCTAATCACTACATTAATAAAGGAAAACTGAAGCCAGAAAGAAAATGTACGCAGGTTACAAAATGGAGTGTATTAGAAGATAGTATTAGGAGAACTGTATATATACAGCAGGAAATGCATATCAGAGTACCAGTGATCATTGACAAACCGTTTATTACAGGGAATGGAGGTTTAAGCTAGGGAGAATGGCACATTCTATTATACACAGCAAGCTAGTTCGTCAGAAGTCAGAGCAATTTATGGCGATTTACAAACTCAGTGAAGTAGATTAGATAAACTTCTTAATATTCTTCTTATAACAAGCTTAAGGATGACCATGATAAGACGAGTGTAACATCTGACTGCATTGAACATTTGGACGGTTGTTTCATGTAGCATGCATTTGAATAGCAGATTGTATTAGTCAACAAGCTAGTTTGTCAGAAGTCAGAACACTACAAGGTGATCTACCAACCATGTGAAACATATGAGATGCAGTTCGAAATACTCTTAACCAGCATAGCTATGAACATGTAACAATTCAGATGGTCATAACTTGTAGCTGCATTGAACATTTAGAGGTTGTTTCATGCATTGACAAATTGTTCATGACAGGAAAACTGTATATATACTGCAGGAAATTGTTCATGGCAGGAATGGAGGTTTAAGCCAGGGAGAATGGCACATTCTATTATCCTCCAGCAAGCTAGTTCGTCAGAAGTCAGAGCAACTTATGGCGATTTAGAAACTCAGTGAAGTAGATTGGATAAACTTCTCGATATTCTTATAACAAGCTCAAGGATGACTATGATAAGACGAGTGTAACATATGACTGCATTGAACATATGGAGGTTGTTTCATGTAGCATGCATTGAATAGCAGATTGTATTAGTCAGCAAGATAGTTTGTCAGAAGTCTGAACACTATAAGGTGATCTACCAACTTTGTGAACTACTATTAGATGCAGTTAGAAATACTCTTAACCTGCATAGCCACGAACATAGTAATAATTCAGATGGTCATAATTTGTAGCTGCATTGAACACTCAGAGGTTGTTTCATGCATCTGAAGCTTACGCTGGGCACATGTAGGTCCAGGTTAAGGCGGTGCGCGGCGGTGCATTGCTTCGGGATCGATATGGCGGCCTCGTTGCGGGCGGCATGGTTGGCGTGCCCGTGCGTCCACAGGGGAAGCCCCCCGATCTCCCGAACGGACGGCCCGCTGTCGAACTGCAGGCCCTGCATCCTGCACATGCTGGAGCACGTGAGCGCCTCGAGCGCCGGCGCGGCGATCGCCAGCTCCCCTGCGCTGGACTCCAGCCTGAAGCACTCGGTGACGCGGAGCGCGCGCAGGCGTGGCGCGCTCACCTGCAGGCACCACAGGTCGCGCACGCCCACGATCGCCAGCTCCTCGAGGTCGCCGACGCAGAGGTCCAGCTCCCCCACGCCCGCCAGGTGCTCGAGCCGAAGCCTCTTCAGGCGAGGGAAGGACGGGGACGAGAGGAGCCCGCTGAGGCGGTGCTGGTCGCTGATCCGGGCGTTGCTGAGCAGCAGCTCCGCGAGCGCGTGGAACGAGGCGTCCGCGGGCGCGGGGAGCGCGAGGGTGGCGTCGCCCAGGGTCAGCGCCACGATCGCCGACGCGGCCGAGCGCGGCAGCTCCAGAGCCACGCCGTTCTTCTCTGCTTCCGCCGCCGCACCCGACGCGCTCTCCTCGGTCGTCGACCGCGGGCGTGGTGGCAGCTCGAGCACGAAGGAACCCGCGGCGCGGGCCATGCCGAAGCGCAGCCACGCGCGGACGTGGTCGGCCGTGACGAGCGCGGCGTGGGGGTGCTCCGTGGCGTACGCGCCGAGGCTGGCGATGTAGTGCTGGTGCGGGGCGCGGAAGACGAGGGAGATCTCGAGCGGCTCGACCTGCGCGTCGGCGTCGGCGTGGCGGGCGAGGGCGGCGCCGATGGAGGAGATGAAGCCGGGGGCGTCCGCCAGCGGGAACCTGGTCGGGTACTGCCCGACGGTGAAGCGGAGGCGCGGCGGCTCGTCCTCGAGGACCGGGCCGTAGCTGGCGCGGCGGCTTGACGTCGGCTCGGGCCCTGCGACGGCGGCCCCGGACCCGGAGGTGGAGGAGGAGTCCATGGGGACCGGCGGGCGGGCGTGGCGGGGTTTAGCCTGTGGGGTTGGATTTGGGTGGGGGATGCGGCTTTGCTTTTGTGGAGTTTTTGGCGGAGAGGAACGGCGGGTTGGGTTTGATTTGGGTTGGGGCGTGGGATTTGGGAGGGAAGAAGAATGGACCGGGGAGATACCGAAATAAGAGATCAGACGCATTCATGCAATGCTCGACTGTTTTTTGGACAACGGAATCATAGATTCACCACACAGGCCACGAGAGAATATCAGGGGAAAACCAAAGCTACTACGATGAAAACCATGTCCATGTGAAAACTATGTTGTGAAGTTCTAAAAAAACAATCTTAAAAGA